ACGTTTCAGCGTGGATCTAAAGTCAACGACCTTGGTCCGAGTAAAAAAAAAAAAAAAAAGCGAGGCAAAAATTGTCAGCTGATTGAGAAGGCATGATGAACCCTTAAGTTCTTAATTTTCTTTTTTTTTTTTTTTATAAATTTTCTCTCTCTCTCTCTCTCTCTCTCCATTTTGAAAAACTTTTACTTTTTTTTTTTAATTTGTTGTTGTTGTCTGGTATTTTAACGATAATTAATATTTTAAACAAATAATAATAATAATAATAAATCATAAACGTGAATGAAAGTTTTTTGTTTTGTTTTTGTTTTGGGAAATTTTTAAAAGGTTAATTTTCAAAAAAAAAAAAAAAAAAACAAATTTTAGTTCACTGACCGTTAAAATACGTTTCTGATATTAAAATAAAATAAAATAACGATTAGTTAGACGTTCGTGAAAGGTAAAAAAAAAAAATAAATAAATAAATGTATAAAAGGTAATAAAATAAATATTTATTTAAATTGTCATCAAACGGAGACAGAGACAGAGAGAGAGAGAGCCTAAAATTTTCGTCTGTGAAATAAATTAAATAAATAAAACTAAAAATAAAATTATTATTATCATTAACATTATCATTAATTAATTAATTAATTAAAAATTAATTTTTATTTATTTATTAATAAGATAATTAAACGAGTGTAAAAATCGATCGAATTCTCGCACAAATATAATTTCGATTGTTTTATTACTAAAAAAAAATAATAATAATAATAATAAAATGTTAAAAATATATAGAAATCGTAAGAAATTTATTAATGATAATAATAATAATAATTGTAAATAAATTTGAAAAAAGTTTGTAATTTAATTTTTTATGTGAAATATTATCGAATTCAACTTCTTTTTAGTAATTAAAAACGGATTATTATGCGATTTTTTTTATGTTTGTTTATTATCATTATTATTATCATTATTATTTTTCAATAAGGTTGGTTATTTTTTTTAAAACTCAAATTACGAATTTTTTTAAATTTCCGTTAACATTTCAAATTTTTTGTTTTATAGATACGGAAATGTTTTTTTTTTTTTTTTTTTCGTTATTGACGATTATGTCAATCGTGATGATTTCCGGTTTTTTTTTTTATCCCCCGGATGCTGAAAATTTGTTGGTATATCCGTTTATTAATTCGATGTTTAGTTGTTAGGGTTTGAGATAGTTGTTCCCTTCTTTGTCTAATACAACAAATAAATTCCACTAAAGTGTTTTTGTTTAGATAGATATTCGTGTTTTTCATCACATCCGGTATCGATCATTTCCGTTTGTTATTAACAAATTCGTCGCTATTCATTTTTTAGGAGACTTCAAGGTCTAATTTTTTTTTGTAATTGTTCAGGTTTAATCCTGCACAAAATTCAAACGCTTCCGTTTTAATTTTTCACGTTTGTTTTCCTTATTTAAAACGTTTACCCTTTTCAAATATTTTAAATTTTTCTACTTCCGCTTTTTCATGAGTTTCTTCTTCTAGAATTCGCTTTTGCTACCATAAGTTCTAATTTTTTTCTCTTAACGCTTTTTTCCTTAACCTTTTTAATTTTTTCTTTTTTTTTGATCTTCTCAACCAATACATTTTTTCATTCATATTATTATTATTATCAATATCAATATTTCAATCGTAACCGAAATTTGATTATTATTTATTTCAAGTTTTTTTTTCTCCAAAATTTCCAGAAACAAATCAAGCCAATCAACGCGATTCAATTTTTTTTAGGTAAACAATACCGGAAATTATTATTATTATTATTATTATTATTATGGTCACTCTTAAACACGACAAGGCTCTTATTTGTCGGGGTTGTTAAGCATTTATCCCAGGTCTCTACCCGATTCCTTAGGGACAAATACTCGAATATCGGTGGTGCTATTTATAATATTTTCCGAAGAATGTGGGCCGTCCCACATAGTGCGATTTCCTGGATGGTTTCTTCTTTTAGGTTCTTCATAATCTTCTTTAAATTTCCTTTTATTGAATGTGGCATGGCTCCCAATGCTCCCACGATGACCGGAATCGTTTCAGTTTTTGTTCTCCACATCCTGGTTATTTCAATTTCCAAATTTCTGTATTTCAGCCTTTTGTCTGCTTCTTTGGCTGTGGTGTTTTTTTCTGCCGGCACGGATACCTCAATTAACTTACACCATTTTTCCCCATTATGCCTGAGTATGATATCCGGTTTGTTAGCTGGCACAGTTCTATCAGTGTGGATTTGTTGATCATATAGAACTGTGCATGGACCTACTGTCGTAACCGGGCTTGGAATGTGGTTGTACCACTCCTTGGGTAATCCATCCATTCCATATTCTCGGCATATATTCCAATGGAGATATTGACATATTTTATTGTGCCTTTCTAAGTATTCATGTTTTGCCAGTATCGGACAACCGGAAATTAAATGATCGATGGTTTCCGATTGTGATTGGCAAATTCGGCACTTGTCATCTTGGCGGACTTTGAGGATTACTTTTTCATAGTTATGGGTCCGCAATGCCTGATCTTGAGCCGCTGTAATAAACGCTTCTGTTTCTATTTTAAGTTTTCCACGTCGTAGCCAATTGTGCGTGCTCTTCTTATTAATATTTATTATTATTATTATTATTATTATTATTATTATTATTATTATTATTATTATTATTATTATTATCATTATTATTATTCAATAAAACGATCAATGAAACGATTTTTTAATTCCAGATTTTAACAACAACAACATTCGAATCAATTTCAATTTTAGCCACGTTCGCTTATTTAATTATATCAATATTATTATTTTTATCATTATCATTATTATTATTATTACTAATTGAGTAAAAGTAAAAGTTGATAATTAAAAAAGTTTTATTATTATTATTATTTATTTATTTAAAACTCGTTTTAGGAAGTTTTTTATTTATTACTAAATTATTATTATTTTTTTCTATTTTTATTATTATTATTATTTATTATCAACAAGTTAGTTCGACTTTCTTTTTTTATTAATAAAATAATCAAGGGTAATAAATTAATTTTTTTAACGATAAATTTTTTAACGGTTTTTTTTTTAATTGCAAAAAAAATTTTCCAGTGATTGAATTTTCACAGAAGGAAATAAGATAGAGAAAAATTTGAGTGAAGGGATGAATACCTGACAAAATCAAATATTGCAAGGTCATTTAAAAGAAAAAAAAATCGAAAAGATTTCATGTGTCGAATTCGTCAACCGGAACCGGAAACGATCAATCATTTTTTTTATCGTACGATATTGGCTAAACGTGAATATCTGAAACATCCACCTTAACCCACAACAAACAAAAACACACACACCGGATATCATTCTAACGTAAATCCCTAAATATCCCCCCCCCTCCCCCGTAAAACAAAAACAAAAAAATCAAAAAAGAAAAACTCTCAACCTTAGTTCTCTATTTCATCAAATACGTCACCATCATAATACTTACGATACCTAATTTAAATCACATTTTATTACATTACTCTTGTTTAATTCCTTCCTTTATAAAAAAAAATTGATGACGTAATAACTAATCGATAACGATGCACCGAAAAAAACAAAATTCCATAATTAAACATAATATATATATAATATATATTTAAATATTTATAAATCACATAAAACAATTTAAAATCAACAAATTTAAAAACCAGAATTTTTTTTTTTTTGTCTTTTTTCTTTACGCTTAAACCTAATCTCTCTTATATGCATACATATATATATATACATATATTTTCCTCTTTTCTTTTAAAATATTAATAATAATAATGATCGCGTTACGTCATATTTATTATCACGTTTCTTATTTATTTACAATTTTTAATATATTTATATATATGCATCAAATATTTCATTTAAAAATTTATCATTTATAACCTTTTAAAATTTTTATCTACATACATTTATTATTATTATTATTATTATTATTTTTTCCGCAACAATAACAACAATAATAATAATAATATTTAACTATCACGAGCTTAGTATTTATTTTTTTTTTCCCCCGTCGCGCGCTATCGATAATAATAATAGTAATAATAACGAACTAATTAAACCCTGGCTGAAAATTTTTTTTTAGTTCATTTCATTATTATTATTATTATTATTATTATTATTATTATTATTATTATTATTATTATTATTATTATTACTTCTACTTATTTACGATAAGGCATATTGACAAAAAAAAATATTACCATCATCATCATCATTATTATTATTGTAATTAATTTAAAATTTTGACCGTCGTTTGTTGTTGTTGTTTGCGTTTTATTAAAAATACGAATCAATTTTTTCGCTCGTACGGATTCGCATCGTGATAATAATAATAATTAATGATGATGGTAATAATAATAATAATTTGAAAAGTGATGTACGCGTATAATTTTCCAATTCGGAATCCATTTCGTTTGTCGTTTGTTGTTGTTTTTTCTCGTTTTGAGACGTTTGATAGCAGAGTAGCAACAGCAACAGGAGAAAATGCGAAGACGTTTGAAATTTTCTTTTTTTTTATTATTATTATAATTTTTTTTTACTGTTTTTGTTTGTTTGTTTGTTTTTATTTATTTATTTTATTGATTGTAATAAAAAAATGCGATATTTGTGGGAAAACTGATTGGAATTTTTTTTATTTTTATGATTAATTTCACGGTCTTTTTTCCTTATTTTTCATTTGTTCAATAGTTTTAATTATTTAACTACAACGATATTGTTCTTCTTTATTCATTGATTGATTTATCGATTGATTGATTCGGGCACACGTGGAAGAACTTTGATTTCAATTATTATTATTTATTGTTGACGTTCGATATATATATAAAAAAAAAAAATTTAAAAAAAAAAAAAAAGTTTACGAAACCTAAAACGATAGAAAAAATAAAAGAAAATTTGAAAATCCATCCGGAGAAAAGCGTGTAAGAAAAATGATATTTATTTTACCTTTTTTTGTTTTTTTTGTTTGTTTGTTTGTATCGCTACAAACACTAGTGACAGTGTTCCGTCACGTCTACGACAACCGATTTTTTCCAACCGAATAGAAAATATCCTATTGTCGCACCTAAAACGACGGCCGTGCACAACCAAACGTTGTACGTCATAAAAATGAGCATGAGAAAATATGATAGAACCATTTGTACGGCTTGAAGAAACGTTTGATAACCGTGCATTAGGTTCCACATGGACGGCCTGAACCGAGAAAAACAAAAAAAGAAAAAAAAAAAGTTAAAAAAATCACCGACGAAAACGAAGACGACGACGACGACGACAACAACAACAACAACAACAAAGAAATAATAATAATAAGAAAAATAAATAAAGAGAAAAGATGTTAACTTACTATTATTATCATTATTATTATTATTATTATCGTCAATAGTAATAATAACATAAAGTCAGAAGAAAATAAAAAATTTTAAAAATTGATAATGTACAGAAATATTAATAAATAATATAAAAGTGATAAAAAAGGAATTGAAAAAAAAAAAAAAAAAAAAAAAAACAAAGCAGAAGAATCTACGACACGCACGCTCGCGCACCCGCACACCCACGCACGCACGCACGCACAGCAACAAAAAAAACACAAATTTTTTGTTTTCTTTTTTTTTACTTACGGTTGTTTGTGTATGACTTCGCCTACGAGACTGCAAAAATAAAGTTTTTAATTTTTTTAAAATTTCAATTATTATATGCGACAACAACAAAAAAAAAATGAAAACAAACAAAACAAACAAAATATTAACAATCAGAGAGGAATCAAAATAATATTGATAATATATATTTATACTGACTTTATGTTAATAAAAATTCTGGAGGCGCAAACGAAACACTACACGACAAACGGGAATTTAAAAAAAAACAAAAAATAATAATAATAATAAAAACAAATTTTCTAAACAAATCGCACGCCCCCTTTCCCCTTCCCATTCCCCTCCCCCTACGGGATACCCGAAAAGCAAACAAACATTAATTAAATACAAACAGTGACGTAGTAGGGATTTGGATTTTTTAATATTTTTTTTTTTTTTTTCAATCCGTAGCAACAATCATCAGATCAACAAATTGCAACAAACAAATTTAAATTTAAAAAATTTCATGACGACAACCGAACAAAAAAATTTTTTTTTTTTTTTTTTTCATTATCTAAACCCAATTAAATTAATACTAATAATGATGATAATGATTATGATAAAAAACACACACCAGTAATTCGATTTTTATTTTTTCCTCGTACTGTTGTAATCGAATCAAAACCCCCCCTCCTCCCCTCTCCTCCTTTTTTGGGGCCCTATACCCCCGACAAATTTATATTATGCGCAAAATGGCGAACGCACACAAAAAATATATATACGCATATTTTTTTCGATAGTAATCATTATCGATCGATCGATTTATCGATGATAACGCGTAATTCTAAAATCTTTTTATCGTTACGTAAGACAAAAAAAAAAATGAATATTTTGGATTTTAAAAAATTATTATTATTATTATTATTATTATTTTTCCCTCGCGTTCGCTTTTTCCCCATCGACTCAATAATAACAAACAAACAAACAAAAAAAAAACCGCGAAAACAAACAAACAAATATTAAAAAAGAGGAACAACAAATAAATCGATACTTTAGTTTAATTTAGTTTTTTTTT